ATTAATCAATGCGACAGACAAATCGATTCTGGCTTTGAGAGCGATGGGTTTTCAGATCCTCTGATGCAGCTCTGAACTGCTATCACTGGGTTTGGCTGATTTAAATATTTAGGTGGACAGCTTGAGTCAGATTTGTTGTTAATTAGAAACACATTAAAGCCGTCTCAAACAAGGTCAACTACTGCTTACATTTTTATATGAATCTATCTTTGATTATATAGTGAGGAAGAGTATTGTGACTCCAGCTTTTAGATGATCCTGATGTAATTTATCATAATTCTCCAGCTTCCAGTCTCTTGTGTGTATATAGTTTATGTAGTTTGGTTTTGCGATGTCCTTTCTGAACTCACCATTGTCACATGTATGTTCACTTGTCTTGGCTCTTTTGAAAAGCTAGACAAAAATGTCATTGGATGTCAATTATTTTCAAATGCATTTCCTCTGACTTTGATTCTTATTCAGGAATGTTTTTAGAGGTGATCAGATCTGAGAATACCAATGTATGTAAGCAGATGTCGGAACGCTATTGGCTAATGCTTAGCAACCATCAATTCACATTGCATGGGGCTCTATGGGACGGAGGACGGGCTTAGAAAAAAAATATTTGACGTATTGACTACATTATATCACAGTACAGGATAAAACCGCCATTCCACTGGATGTGAAAGTGTCACAAAACGGACGTATAACGTACTTCGCAATTAGCCGCCGTTATAGTTCCTTTCTACGAGCAGCAAAGTACAAACTTCTGGATGTGTCCCAGAAGTGAAGGGATGCTATCATTATGTTTTGAAAATATTTTACGCACTATGCTTCCTAAATTTTATTAGTGTATGTACGTACATACGTACGTACGTACGCACGCACGCACGCACGCACACACACACACACATGTTTTAGCTACATATTACACATACGCCATGCAACTTTATATGTGAGAAGGAGGATCTTAAAATCTATTCTGAATTTAACAGGTAGCCAATGTAGGGAAGCTAAGACAGGAGAGATATTATCTCTCATTTTAATTCTCATCAGAACTCTAGCTGCAGCATTTTGGTCAAGCTGAAGACTTTTAACTACATTCTGTGGACTTCCTGAGAGTAATGAATTACAGTAATCCAGTCTTGATGTAATAAATGCATGAACTAGTTTTTCAGCATCACTCTGGAAAGGATGCTTCTAATCTTAGCAATTTTCCGAAGGTGGAAAAAGAAAATCCTACAAACCTGTTTAACTTAGGATTTGAATGACATGTCCTGGTCGAAGATAACACCAAGGTTCCTTACTTTGTTCTTGGAGATTAATGTAATGCCATTCAGGTCAGGTGATTGACTAAGCAATTTCTTTTTCTAGATTTCTGGTCCAAAGATGAGAACTTCCATCTTGTCTTGATTTAAAGGAAAGAAAGTTTACAGTCATCCAATTTTTTATGTCCTCAAGACAAGCCTGTAATCTACCTAACCGATTAGGTTCATCAAGGTTAATGGATACATATAACTGAGTATCGTCAGCATAACAGTGGAAGTTTATCCCATGCTGTCTAATGATTTTACCAATTGGGAGCATCTAAATAGTAAAAAGAATTGGTCCAAGCACTGAACCCTGTGGTACTCCACAAGTAACCCTGGAGTATGAAGATTTGTCATGTACATTTACAAAATGAAATCTATCAGACAGGTAGGATTTGAACCAGCCTAGCGCTGTTCCTTTGATCCCTACAACATGTTCAAGTCTTTCTAAAAGAACATTGTGATCTACTGTGTCAAAGGCAGCGCTGAGATCTAACAAGACTAGAACAGACACAAGAATCTTATCTGAGGCCATGAGAATATCATTTGTAACTCTCACTAATGCAGTTTCAGTGCTGGGATACTCTCTAAAACCAGACTGAAATTCCTCAAACAGATCATTAATGTTTAAATGCTCACATACTTGGATGGCCACTATTTTCTCCAGGACTTTGGATAAAAATGGAAGGTTAGATATTGGTCTATAATTCATTGGGTCATCTGGATCCAGAGAAGGCTTCTTAAGTGAAGGTTTGATTGCAGCAACCTTAAAATCCTGTGGTACATATCCATTTACTAAGGATAGATTGATTATATCTAGAATGGGGGCAGTAACCAAAGGAAATGCATCTTTAAATAATTTGGTTGGGATTGGATCTAAAATGCAAGTTGAAGGTTTAGATTAAGCTAATATTTTTGATAACTCTGAAAGCTCAACTGGATCAAAATTGTTCAAGCACAGATGAGGTTCTACAGTCACCTCTGATGCTGCCTCACTTACTGAGGAAGAAGAAATTGCATTAGGGAGGATGCTAAAGATTTTGTTTCTAATAGAATTCATTTTACTTGTAAAAAATCCCATAAAGTCATTGCTGCTGAGGGCTAAGGGAATAGATGGTTCAGATCTATGATTCTGTGTAAGTTTGGCAACTGTACTGAAAAGAAATTTAGGATTATTCTTATTCTCCTCAATTAACGCTGAGAAACAAGCAGTTCTAGTTTGTCTAAGCTTATTTTTATAAAGCACAAGGCTATTTTTCCAGGACAAGTAGGACTCCTCCTGGTGCATAGAGCGCCATCTTCTCTCCAATTTTCTAGAGTTTTGTTTTAAAGCTCGTAAATGAGAATTAAACCAGGGAGCCAACTTCCTGTCCCCAATTACCTTCTTTTTTAAAGGGGCCACATCATCTAATGCCACACGTAAAGAGGAAGTAACATTATGAACTAAGGCTTCAATTTGTGAGGGGCTAGAAATGAAAATATTGCCCTCTGCTGTTTCTCTGAGATGCTGAGGACAGTAAAGATGGAACAGTTGATTTAAAAGATGCAACAGCATTGTCAGATAGAGACAGACTATAGTGAAATGTACTTTCATGTCTCGAGAACTCAGTTATAAAAAACTCAAAGGTTATCAGAAAGTGGTCCGAGAGGACTGGATTATGTGGACAGATCGTTATTTCCTCACACTCTATGCCATAAGTCAGCACAAGGTCTAATGTATGATGGCAGGAGTGGGTGGAGCTATGTATTCTTTGGGTAAAACCAATTGAGTCTAAGATATTACTAAAGGCTACATTGAGGCTATCATTTTCAATGTCCACATAAATGTTAAAATCCCCCACTACAATGACTCAGGGGCTGTTACTGATCCCGCTCAGGATTTTTGCTCAAACACATTTAAAGAACAGGAAAAGAAACATTTGTCATGATAACTCAGGTAAGGAGAAAAGATTAAGGAGACATTTCAGCTCAGTCACACTTAAACTCTCCTCTTATCTCACCATCTATCCATCATTGCTCTATTTCACCTCTACTGTAACACACTTCATCATTCTATCACCAAAGGTAACAGATAAGCCTCAATTCATCCATCTATCTTCCACCAGATATTCTTTCATTTCCCTTTCTCACATGTACCTTACTGCCTTCAGGCTCTGGTAAATCTACTGGCAACATTTATAGCATGTGTCTGCATATGAGACACACTGATATAGTTCCCGGAGTCAAAAAGGGTAAAGAGTAATAATCATACCTTTGATTCAGCAAAATTTTATCTTCGATTGAATAAAACTATAACTGCTGCTTCCCCTTCTCGAGTTTCAGCTAAAACAATCAAACATTAACATTGAGGGTTTGCACAGATTTCCAAAATAAAAGTTTCAATCAAGGAGCAATTAGGGGTTCAGGAAACAAAGTCCAGCACTGAATCATTAACCATATGATCACCCTCCAACCCAAACATACTCAGGATCATTTTCATTTTCCTGCTTTGATCAATTTGGGCATGGAAAACGAAAGATAAAGAATTACCCCCGAGACAGGACTGCAGCTTAGAGACACATATGATTTTACTGACATGTTCAAAAGCAACGGGTCGTCCAACAAAAACACAAGTCTGACATAAAATCACTGTAGCAACAAGGCTCCTACCAGTGGAAGGAGGCTCTGCATCTGCATTTGATTTTCTTTTTACCTAAATTAATTTATTAGAATGCGCATGTGTGTGGCCTCTCAGTGTGGCATGTTTGTGTGTAACAGGGATTACCAAGCAGTCTGAGCATTTTCATTAGTTCCTCGAATGCCAAACAAACCACACGGGTATGTGAAGCAGCTGCTGTGGTGCTAGAGCCGGAGAGTCGACCATGGCACAGAGAGGAGGAATTAAAGTAAAGTGGTTCAAAACACACGCCTGTGCACATCTGCAGACCAGCTCGATGGCTACGAATGAGCGTGCGTGTCTGCATGTGTGTGTTTGTGTGTGAGAAAATGCCAAGAAGCAGCACCTGAAACTTGCAGATATTCAGCAAGATAAAATAATATTTCACTCCTGTTACTTTTTCTAGTGGTTTGGATGTTTTTATTTGTGCCTTAGAATATAAATTATACCTTCCTGAAGTTGTCATCAAGAGGGCTCTACAAAAGGGAAAATTCAAGAACAAAGAGATGCAAACACAGCTTCTACTTGAAGGCAATCAAAGCCCTGACTGGAAAAAACCTTTCCTCCTCTGACTCAAGTCGGTCTCACCGGCTGCTACAGATTTGTTTAATCAATATTCATCTGTTACCAAACGAAACACACAGAAAGACCCAGATAGAGAAACCTCACAAGACAAACAAGCATGAAAAATGAAAAAAAAAAGAGATTGGTTCTTTTTAATTAGATTTTTTAGTAAAATTTTTGTATTTTTATTAATTTGTTAAATAGGTAAATATAAAAATGGAAATAAAAGCATTGTCATTAAACTGAACTTCATTAACTATTAATATGTCTACGGGTTAAGTCAGATATGAATTTACACAGATCATTAGACCAAGTTTTACTCGTGCATTGCACAATTTATCCAACAGATAATTATTCTGTAAAATAAAAATAAAATAAAACATCAGTCACCTTGAAATCCTGCAGAGGAAGTCCTGCAGAGCTCCATGGTGAATCACTACTGAGTAGTTTGACAAAAAAAGCCACAAGTCCGAGGAATGGGTTTGTCCTACCTGACCACCGGTTCTGGTATGGCTTCCATGTTGGCTGGGACCTGGACTCCCTTTTCCCACTCCTGTCTCCAAGGGTCCGACAGCACATAGAAGTCGTCTGGGCCGAGCTGCGCGGAGTCTGGCAGCTTCATGGCCGTGATGAAGTCTGTGCGGTAAACCTGCATTACGGGAGTACAAAAATATGTTAGGTATAGATAGAAAAAAATAAGCTTGGAAACATAAATGTAGAGATAAGTTTTGTTTTTGTTGGGACTGATATGAAGAACAAATCAAGAGAATTTGAAGGTAACTAAACATTTTTTTACACTAATTGTGTTTGAACAAGGAATGAAGTGAGAGTCCAGCAAAGTGACTGTTCAGTGAGTTGTGGAGTGAGGGTTTAGGGCAGGGGTATTCAATTCCAAGCCTGGAGGGCCTGTATCCACCATGTTTTAGTTTTAACGCTGCTTTAACACACCTGATTTCAATCAGCAGGTGATTAACAGACTTCTGCAGAGCCTGATGAGCTGCTGCACAGGTGATTCAAAGACTGAATCAAGTGTTTTTGAGCAGAGGAACTAAAACGTGCTGGATTGAATACTCCTGGTTTAGGAACTAAGGAGGAAGTGTTTCTATCTGGCATGAATTCAAAGTCTGGATATTCCCAGTACATCCTGGAATGTTAGTGGTGCTCCAACATTATTCTTTTCCAGTTTTCTTGTTCTTGTCCAACAATGACATTAGCAGTAGCTCAAATTAGCATGAGCAGTGGCTCAAGCTAATGTTAGCAGTAGCTCAGGCTAGCATTAGTAGTTGCTCCTACTATGGTTCTGCGGTTAGCATTACCGTGACTAAGGTTTATACGTTAAGTGCAAAACTAATGTGGTGTTTCTAAACTTATGGCGTGTTAAACCAGCTTTTCTCAGAACAAACTATTTTATAGCGGCCCTTTCTGCATGGGAAAGCAGGTTCAAATTCAAAGATACTTTATTAATCCCAGAGGGAAATTAGAGAGAGAGTTGGAGACAGTACCGGGTTTTGGTATGCTACAAGCTGCCCATATTCAACAACAAATGTGATTTTAAACAATATGATCCCTGTAGACATAAACAGAGTCAGAACTAAAGTCTCCTTGTAGCAAATAAAACTAATTGTGCACACAAATAGTGAATAAGTCCTTCTCTCCTGAATTAAAATCCAGGCCTTGCTTATGGCACAAGAGATTCACATCACTGACTTGCAGCTAATAAATCTGCGGCACCTGTAAGATGCTTTCATGTCAATTTGGAGCAAATTCTCTTCTAAAACCTTGTTAAATTGGTGACAATGAAGTACTATGGCAGTGGTAGCAAGGTGAACTTAAAGTGGCTACAAAATGAAGCGTAAAGGAGAAGCACAGACTACCACAAAGTGGGAGGAGAAGACTGATAAGCTGAAGTGGTAATAATTAAAGTGTTGAAACTGACCTTTAAGAGTCAACACAAACGCCCGGCACATGTTTGCAGAGAAAATAACAGAGCCTTTCAGATCATTCAGATCATGTATGTAGGATTCCACGCAAAAAAAAGGTGACTTCCAGTGTGATGAGTGTTTACAGGAAACTGAGGGAGTGGGTGTATTCAACCGATCGCTCATACATAAAAAACCTCAGTTCCAATGGAGACCCGGAGCAGTGATGTTATCGGACGTAAAGTTAAGGACATCGGTCAAGAACACACACAAAAACAACACAAACACACACTTGCCAAAACAATCCAGTGGCTTTATGTTTTATCATTACCATTTAAGACGGACTTTAAAAGCTGTTCTCCTTTACCCACATCCAAAACCCTTTTATCTCTAAATCCAGCTCTCTTAAAAATATGTGCCACTGTGTGTCAATTTAAGCACGCACGCTGCTTGGATTCTCCCTTTCCTAGCTTTACAACTCCCTGTTCTTTATGGTAGAAAAGCCACGTGTCCACATGCCAATAAAGCAGCAAGAGAAGGTCAAATTATCAAGGGTGTGTGTTGGTAAGAATCTGGTGATATGATGGTAGAAAAGCCACGTGTCCAAATGCCAATAAAGCAGCAAGAGAAGGTCAAATTATCAAGGATGTGTGTTGGTAAGAATCTGGTGATATGATGTGTAGGAAGCCTAAAGGTGGTTTTCCAGGAGCACTACCCAGAAACCGGACCGGTGCAGCTCAGTCCGACCAACGTTTCCCTCTACTTTCTCCCCAATTTGAAGTCCCTGCTCAACTGAGGTATCTGGCAAGGCTGAGTTAGGCCGGCATCGTGACTGTGGCTGCTGATTGGCTTGGGGGTGGAGTCACAGGTTCCTCCCAAGTTTTCTGCCTTTTGCTTCACTGCCTGCAGCCATTTCCTGGTTCAGAGTCTGACAATAAGCTGAGAAGTGTTTCTGGGAAGCATATAAACTACCTTACACTGTTTACTGATCACCTCATGCCATTTTGTCATGAGTAAAAATCACGCAAAATTAGCCCCATTCCCTTGCATTAATTTTTTCGTAGTTCCGCGGACTAGTGAGTCAACCGGCATGGGAGGAGACAGGGTGTTTCTCAATGCCAAGGACCTTGCCTCGATGACTTCGTCCCGCCCCGGTTGCCTAGGAGATAAGTCATCAGGAACCGCCAAGGCATGTTCTTCAGAGGCGTCTGTTCTCCGTTTGTAAGCTGTTTAGCTAGCTGAGCAAGGATACACGTCAGGTGTCTTGTAGCTTAGCCTTGATCAAAACTTTCCCAGAATACACAGCGGTATTTTCAAAAGAATGGTGAATCAGAAGCCGGCAGCTACTTCGGGGGCATATTTCAAGTTTAAATGTAAGTCAACTAATTGTAGCCATCGAGCTGATATCTGATGTTTTTTTTTTTTATATCCAAAGCAGTTAGCTATGGTTGGTTAGATGCTAGTAGTTGCAGCTTCGGTGGCTAGCTGGTAGTAACTCACTTACATATTTAATGTAACAAATATATACACAAGTTAAAAAGTAAAAGGCTTGTTATATATTTATATTGAAACTTATACGTATTAAATATATTGTAATCTCCCATGTCACGTGACAGTACATGACTGCCACGGTCATGTGAAGCAAGTCTGTTCTATTTAACTGTTTTCTTTGACCAAGGAAGGACAGTGTCCTCGTAAGCAAGGCGCTTGACCTCGCAAGACATCGCCTTGCGAGGTCAAGCGCCTTGACATTGAGAAACACCCTTAGGCTCCCTACATCACAACACAAGGGAGGTGATACGATATAGTGCAATAATCCAGACCATATTTGTAATTTTTAAGACTGAATCTAATTGTAGGCCAGCCATTTCTAATACACATCCAGTGTTATCACGAGATCTCGTCGTTCCGTCGGAACAAAAGCAGTAAAAACTGTTGCAACCTAGCAGTCGGAGTTTGTATTGAACCACACAAAAGAAATAGTGAATGTTTGCATGTATATTCTCAATATAAAATTTGATACAGTGCTTTTAAGTATTCAGTATGATTCAGTATCATAACCCAAAATATCTCTCTACTTCATTGTATTGATATTTTTTTACATCCCCCAAAATTATATATATTAAACATATACATACATACATGTAAGCATCAAATATAACCCAAAATCTAGTGAGACATTTGTACTTAAACTACAGTTTAATTAAATTCAGCCATCTTTATTGATAAAATATACAAAAGCGAGCTCCGTTTCAAAGATGAGGTGAGGAATTCATTGGCGCCCCCAGATAATTTTCACAGGAGTGGCCAAATGGGGCTAGAGAAAATTTTGGGGGAGGCACTCCAGATTGGTCTGTTTGGTAACTCTACAATGCATTGCAGTCTCCTTTATTTATTTGTTTTTTTTTTATTTTATTTATATGCATCCAACACACTTACCTCAAATTTGAAGAACACAATTTTTCTGAAAGACATTTCAAACAGTTATTTGGAATGTTACTTTTAAATTTATTGTAGAATTGTTTTAATTCACCTGTTTCTGTCTTCACAAAAGCCTCCACAAAACTATAGATTTAAACCTTTGTTTTGAAAATTGTGATCAGGAGAAATATATATGCTTTACCTTTTTTATTTACTCTTTAATTGTATGCAGTTATTGCATTTATGTTTGATTAAATAATATGCATTTATAGTTTGTGGGAACATTAATATGATTCATTAAAAAAAACATTGGTCTCCTCTAAGGTAGTCAGTGGGGTGGCCAGAATTTTTCTAGGGGTGACCCTGGTCACCCCCGGCCACCCCTTAGGGGCACCACTGGAGGATTTGCGAGTAGAGCTGGTTCCTGTCTCCTAGTTGCCTCACCCACAGGTAGAAAAAGACCCCGAAGCGAACCCAAAACTCACTAGAGAGGTGATGTAACCTCTCCAGACTGGGAACACCTTGGAATTCCCCAAGGAGGATACAGAGATTTTGGGGCTTCCTATCTTAAGTCCATTACCTCGGGGGCCCCAACACTGGATAAAGATATCTTAAATTTTGCTATTTTAATTTTAATCACAACAGAAATGACTCAGCATGAAAACTAAAAGGAAAAAATAAAAAAAACACAATAATGACAGAAAAAGAAAGTGAGCCATGAATGTGAGTTTAAAGGATGAGGAAGAGAACTAGGGCACGTCTTTGATGATAATAGAAGTAGAGCAGGAGGAGAAAGAGAAGGAGGAGATATGTCTGTGTGTCACAGAGGAGTGTATGAAAAGGCCATATGTAAAGCACAACAACATCCTTCCTTCTGCTGCTTGGCTGCCTCTCCTGACTCCCAGCCAACACAAATAAATATTGCAATGGAGCACGAGGGTGTGTGTGCGTGTTTAACTGTGTCTAACGGAGTGTTTGCAGATTTGTTCAACCCAATGTGACTGTCAATGTTAGGGTGGCTCTGGGACTAGATTGTGTGTGCGTGCGTGCGTGCGTGTGTGTGTGTGTGTGTTGGTAAACCAAGGCCATGATGGATCCATTCTTCCCCTTTAGCAACACAAAGCAGGACAGATACAGATTAAAGGTGCTCCACCTCTCTTATATCTTCTTTTTTCTCCTCTTACTCCTCCACCGTTTATCGTTACAAAGCCGTTTTATTATTTAACATTACAAGTTAGAAGTGATGATGAGTGAATTTAATGGAAAAAAGACAGCAAATGGATGGGGAGAAGAAAAATGAGCAAAGTAG